TTAATCACTTGTCTGATTTTGTTTTTATGGCAATGACATACTAGTCAAGAGCAGAAAGGCTCCTGCCACGGCTAGTAAACGGAGCATGTTTAGGCTTATAGTTTGGCTCCAGGAAGGTTTATAGTCTTGGAAATACAACGAAGTACTGAGGTTACATTATATAAAAGGCTGAATTAGAAGATAGCTAATAGTGTAATAACTCAACATACAAATCCACGTCATGCCAATTAGTTGACCATCCATGCTTACTTGAGCCTGGGCGTTGCCTTACAATTGTCTTGGAGGATGCACACATTTTTCAGAGTATTTTCTTAGGAAAAAATGTGCATCTTGTAAGCTGGAAAATATGGTATATTGAGTACTTTGTAAGGTTATAAGAATGTTGTCAAGTAAAAGAATATAGATGAATATAAAAGAATATGAATGGATATTTCTGATTCAAGAGTTGCAACTGTTCTGTTAACATTTATAATTTCATCTGATGGAATATTTGATTTGATCCAATCTTTTTTTAACAAATCATGTAAAGAAAGTCATATTAAATAGCCACTCTTCTAGATCCTTCCAAGTTAATGCAGGTGTCTCCCAGGGCTCAATCTTTTGAACCTACTTTGTTTATCTTTAGCAATGATCTTTATGAGGTCATCAGTTCTGAACTCTGTATTTATGCTGATAACACAACTATTTCTTTTTTCTCTGTGCCGTGTCCCTTCAGGACATAGGCAATCCTGGCTCACTACAATTTCCTCTTTTGTAACTCTTAATAAATTTTGTCTTTGTGTCATCTCTCCAAAACCCTGTTCCGCCATTCATTTCTTCAAGTTTATTAAGTAGGTTATGTGCCGTTTTTCTCTGTCCCTCTTGCCGTCAATCTGTCCTGTGAGTATAACATTTTCCAAGCCATCTTCCCTCATTATGTGCCCTAGAAATTTCAAATGTCTCTTCCAGATGTTAAGTATATGTTTCCTTGGATTTTTTGTTTCCATTTTCACTAAAACTTTGTTGTTGCTCTCATCTTCGGTCTGTGGTATCTTCAGCATTCTTCTGTAGAACCACATTTCAGTTGCTTAAAGTCTCTTCATCTATTTGTAAACTTAAGTACCATTTTTTTTTTTTTTGTTTTTTTTTTTTTTTTTTTTTTTTTTTTTTTTTGTTTTTTTTTTTTTTTTTTTTTTGTTTGTTTTTTTTGTTTGTTTTTTTTTTTGTTTGTTTTTTTTTGTTTGTTTTTTTTTTTTTTTTGTTTTTTTTTTTTGTTTGTTTTTTTTTTGTTTGTTTTTTTTTTTTTTGTTTGTTTTTTTTGTTTGTTTGTTTTTTTTTTTGTTTGTTTTTTTTTTGTTTGTTTTTTTTTTTTTTTTTTTTTTTTGTTTGTTTTTTTTTTGTTTGTTTGTTTTTTGTTTGTTTTTTTTTTTTTTGTTTTTTTTTTGTTTGTTTGTTTTTTTTTTTGTTTTTTTTTATTAATAAGCATTTCATTTATAAGCAACTGCACAGAAATGTGACTAAATCTTAAGTAAGAAAAGAAAACTGCAAAATGAGTTACTAAATCCATTATTTTATGCTGGAAACAAGAATTCTACCAATTCTACTACTTACATTGAAAAGTTTTTCTTTTCTATTTATTTAGACCCAAGAATGAAAATTTAACAAACTATTTTGGTTCAAATTATGACACAAAAATATCGCAACCCAACCCAAACAATAATTTGCTTATAAAAATAAAATAAATCTGCCATTCATCCGTGCATTGAATATTGCTGCTATATTTGGTCTGATGCTCCTACTATGTATCTTGAGATTCTCTACAAAATCCAAAGATGGGTCTGTAATGTTATCGAGCTTGGTCTGGCATCTTGATTCAGTCACTTTCCCACCACCTTGACGTGACTTCCTACTGTCTTTTCTATAAATATTTTCATAGCAATTGCTCTAATGAGCTCTCCTCCTTGGTATCTCAACCACATGAATTTTAGCATACTACTAGATTGGCAAATAGGTCTCATTGTTTTATTGTTGAAATAGCTAGCTCTAACTTTAAGTTCAATTCTAATAGCTTTTCTCACACGTTTCGCTTGTAGAACTTTCTTCCAGTTTCTTGCTTCTCTGCCATATACGTTCTTCAAAATATAATTGTCAATGTCAAACCTGTTCTTTTATTGTCCTTTTTTTTACTAAAGTTTTTCTGTTCTCTTTCTGAAACCCCTTGTATTTAGTTATTATCTTGTTTGGGCTAAAATGGGAAAATATATATTTTGTATTTTATCAGTCTGCTTCACAATCCATGTCCATAACAAATGACTGGCTTCTCATGTAAAATGGGAATAATCATGAATTTAAAAACCAGGGACAAAACCAAAAATTATTCTGCATACTTGTAACATTACTATAACCATGTGATATCAATATATATTTTCAGTGAATTCCAATAAAATTCAACTGAATGGTTAGTCATAGGTAAAAGAATAACAGATTAAATTTGGGAGATGATCCATGTGTAATATCTCCTCCACTAATGTATTTTTATATATATATATATATATATATATATATATATAACACAATGTCTCAAAAAGTTCTAAATGGATTTCTATGATATGTGATAGAAATGTGTGCTTTTGGCAATAGAAAAAGTAATCAAATTTTGGTGAGGAGCCATCAGTTTTCTATAGTTACCTCCCTTGCATGTAGTTTTATTTACAGTGGTTTGGGCAGAAATATGCACTCTGAATGCTTTTTTTTTTTTTTTTTTTTTTTTTTTTTTATGAAGTGGGTCATGAGTTGCAAAATAAAACATTTCAAAGAGGGGGCACCAAATGTATCAAGCTGCTGAGAACCCTGTGCTATGCTGTGTAATTATTTCATGTAAAACTCATGATATCTTTATTGTTGCTATTATATAAACAAAAATGCTAGTTTAGCTATTTATTCTTCTTTTCAGAGTACAACTATTCAGTGCCTTAGGGTGAATGAATTCGGGACTTTCTTTATCAAAAGATGTCTTCAAAAGTCATCAGAGAATGGCTGGCAGAATACAAGGTAAGTAACTTTTTTTTATTTGAGCATTTTATTTGGTTTTACTGACCCCTCTTACTGTCTTTTAAAAGTTATAAACATTTATATAATTAAAGTACACTGATGGAAAATAAAATTGCAACACTCTGAAGGACAATGTCAATTTACACCTGGATACGGCATGAGCATGTTAGAGGGTAGTAGATACTCTGATAAAGTCTTTAGTCATCTTGTAATATAGTAACACTCATACCAGTGAACCATCTGTGTCTGAGATCGAGTTGATTCATGCTGCAATAAAATTCAGTGTGGTAAGTCCAATGCTATTTGTACTGATTTTTTTTTTCACAACTATGCAAAAATAACAGAATAGACTGGGTTCTTTAGTTTTGGGTGGCAACCAAGCAAAACCTTTGATTTATAAACCATGGAGAAGGCAATAGGAAACCACTCCACTATCTTTCCCAAGTATGCATAGTAGTTTGCAGATAATAAAGAAAAGGAATCTGTATAGTCATGATTGCCTATATCCTGAAGGGATATGGCATTTTTTAAAAAATTTATTTCATTACTTATCATAAATTAAATATGACGCTTAAAATCTATCAGATAATTTAAAATGTTACTGATTTTATTAAAAAATATTGGTTATTTCTGATAGAAATATTATTTCTTTTTTCTACCCTCAAGCAAAAGTTGTGATTTCTTTTCATTCTTAACAAAGATTCTCATATGACTCCTCCATAGTGGGTTGAGTCCAGACATTAGCAATTTTTGAAGTTGCTACTTTTAAGCAAGCTAAGGTCATTTCTAAATTTAAACTCTGGTTTACTAGGGTTTTTTTAAATTTTATTCATAACATTACTTAGTCAAAGGTGAGAGCTTTTAGAAGTCGAGGGTTTTTCAAAAGAAAAGGATCATTGTCCAGATTTTTTATGCTTTTTATCAGCATGTATCAAGGCGGCCATACAAATAGGCCTAAATGAGCAATAAAATTCTTAAATTAAGATAAGAAATCAATTCAGAATTTCTGAAAATGCCACTTTTATTGTTTTGATGCTTCAATCCCTTAAATTTACAGAAATCATCCAGAAAATCATTTTTTTAATGATTTTCTGTAAAAAAAAAAAAAAAACCTGTAAAAAAAATACTGATTTTTAGCCCCCCCTCCCAATAATTTTGAAATTCAATGGAAAATAGGGGAAAATTCCGGATGCATAACCTGCTACACGCACATACACACACACATATATTGTCATCTACAGACAGACTGTTTCACTGTATCACAGCTCTTCAGTGTGGCTAGATGTCCGATTGGTTCAAGCTGGGATCAAAACTCAACTGATTTGGTATCAGTCAGAGATTCTACCTCTAGGTGATGAAGAGAAATTTTAATGTTTTCTATGTGAAAAATATGTCAGTGACCCAGAGTGCTCAATTCAATTCACTTGAAGAGCAATGCATTAATAGCAGTATGAGCCACTGTTTTTAAAATTACCCTTTTCTCAAGAGAGCTCGGCTGGATTTTCTGGGAGCATATATATATATATATATTGTCATCCACAAACTGTTTCACTGTATCACAGCTCTTCAGTGTGGCTAGACATTTGATTGCTTCAAGCTGGGAGATATATATATATATATATATATATATATATATGATTTTTTTTACAGAGAAGTGTGATCCTACTGTTTCTAAGATTCAGAAATCCACAGTGGGCTCACAAGAAGGTATTTGGTATTTTTCAAACATTTCCCAAGGGATATGTGCTATGTCTAGTGTGAAAGACAGTCTCAAGATTTCAGAATTGGTCTAATTTTGTCCTAAATCCAAATATTAGTCAAGATTGAAGTTAATCAAAACTTGCTCATGTTTAATCATTGACTTTTAGATGGTCAGTTCTAGAGAGCTGCTGTGCATTATCAGCAACTATTTTTTAATCAGCAATGTGAAAGTTTTATTCTATTCTTCCTCTTAAGGCTTACAGCCACATATTGAAATACTGACTCCCATACGATCACTGAAGTTAAGCAACATCAAGCTTGGGCAGTACCTAGATGGGTGACTACTTGGGAATACCAGGTGCTGTAAGCTTGGATGTGCAAGTTGTGTAATAGATAACGACTTTGAATTGGAAATCAGAGGCAAGTTCTGATTCCAATTGAGTTTGTTATATTCACTTACATGCAAATACCCTTGGGAAAGGTATGGATCCACCTCTTCCCCCCAACTATGGGTTAATTAGTAAAACTTGTATCACTAAACTATTATCTCAAAAAAAAAGATTTACAATCTGAAAAAATATTTTCTGGCTTTAACTCGCCTGCAATGGGTTGATAAGTCATAAAAAATGAATGAATCAATCTTTCCCATATGTACAAGTAACATTAACACACTTTCATAATCAAACTGAAAATCATTTGGGGAGTCAAAAACAAGAAATGTACTATTGTGTGAGCCCACTGTGAAATACTTGGAAAATGTTGATAGATCCAGATTGAATCTGGGAAGCAGTTCCAGGATTTGTGGAAAAAGTTGACATTTCACAGCTTTTGGGACAGACCAGGTGTAGAGATTAATGAATTACTGATATGAAATTTTAGTCTCAGACACTCAGATTTTAGGAAAATTCCAAACATTTCTCACTTTCAGAGTGGTCTCACTAATATAAATCAAACAATCTACCGAACATTATTTGTACACATTATTTTTTTTTTTTTTTTTTAATCATTTCATCCCAAGCAGGGTGATAAAGCCACTAAAACATAAGGGGTTACTGAGTGTAAAAAGAATATAAAAAAAAGAGAAACATTAATAAAGAGCAAGAACAATAAAAAAAAAAAAACTGGAATTAAGAAGAAAAGATAATGATTGACATTGCATTTAAATTTTTGAAGATCAAACTAGACTGAACTTGAGATTATTCCACTGTTTCTGTTTTGGGACCCAAATATAAAAATTTGGCTCCAGATCCCCAGATTTCCTTGTGCTCCTTTGGAACTTTCCTTTCTTTTTTTTTTTTTTTTTTTTTTTTTTTTTTTTTTAAGTAGTTGTTTCAAGTGCCAGATGATGACCCTGGCACCCTCTCGGAAGAAAGGTAAAGCTTAGGAATATGGCCTCCTAGGACTTGAGCACATAATAGAGTTAAATTTCAACCCACTGACCCGGTTGGGCCATGTTTCCAGTTCCTCACAATAGGTGGTTAAAAAGATGTATATATGTATAGAAACCTACAGAAACACTGGGTTGAGGAAGGCAAAATCAGAGATTCTTCTTAAATAGTCCTGAAAAGAAAAAATAACCTACAACAATTACTGAAAGTCCATGAGACTTGAAGTGATATACATATACTTACAGTGTTAGCGAGGAAGAACGCCACTGTTCAACAGGAGCAAAAAATGGTTTTAACACTTCCAATAAAAAAATAAAAAAAAAACCCAGAAAACTGAGGAATACAAGGAAAACAGTTAGCAAGAATGACAGTAAGATGATGGAATTGTTTTTAGTCAATTTTCAAATTTTAAAGCCTGGCTTTTACTTTGATTTGAACATTGAGTTGTCACTTAGTTGGGAAATACTTATATTTTAATCAGAAAGCAGGTCAGTCATGCATTGTATGAAATAGGTACTTCCACTTTTTAGATGAAAGAACGGCATAGCATGATGTCAAAAGGCCCCAAAGTTAATAAAAACAAAGTTTTATTGTCAAAATGTTTGTTATTATTAAGAGGAAAGAACAAAGTATTATTTTATTAAATTTTTTAATCCTTTTTAGCATGTTCAAAATTTTGGTTAAAAATCTTTTTTGTGTCGATGGTTAACCTTGTGGGGGGGGGTTTCAGTGAAAAACACATTGATTTGGAAATTCTTGCAAAAATCAAATAACTGTCAGATTTTTATGAAACTACTCACAAATGAATGAAATTTTTTTTTTTTTTTTTTTTTTTACTTAATTTCATGAAATTTTGAGAAGTTAAATTTTCATCAAAAAATATTTTTATTAGTTAAAAGCAGAACTCCTTGGAGAATGTCGATCAACAAAAAAAAAATCTGTTCTGAATTGTAAAATAAAAAATGCAATAAAACAGACATTATTTAATTAGAAAAGCTTTTAATTATTTTAAGATTTATTAAGGACATTATGGTCTGAAGAAAAAAATATTTTCGATGAATAATGAATTTTTTATAAGAAATTTTTTTTTTTTTTTTTTTTTTTTTTCAATTATAATAATTTATAATATATAAATCTTAAAATTCTGCACTACTTTCCATCTGGTTAGAGGTGATAAAGCTTAATACAAATTATTTTGCACCAAGATTTTGAAAATAATTTTTAATTTTCTTGTCTATATAAAATATTACATAACGTGCCCTTTTTGAAAGTATGATTGACCATATGTGACATTATCAGAAAATAAAAGCGATAACTATAGCAAAAAGTCAACATTCCTAAAATTAGATTACAGAGAATATTTTCCAACATTTTTGAGATTTACTGAGTACTTAAAAATTATATAAAAAAGGCACTCACCTGTCATTTTCTTAAATTATGTTTTAATAGATAAAGTCTCCATAGAACAGCAATAAAGATGATGGCAGATATATTTGCACTCGTTACATGATTGACGAGTGGTGATAAGCATTTAATCACCACTACTGTTTTAAAAATCCATTTCTTTGTTATTTTATTTAAACTAAATTTCAAATCTGATTAATTACTTTAATCAGCTAATATTTCTTAAATATTCCTCGAAGTATATTTTATTTTTGGAAGATTTTTAAAACCGAGAATTAACTTTTGTTTACAAATGTGTTAAAAATGGCCGATTTTAACGACTTTACTGAAAGTAGCCCTCTAAAAAATCGATTCCAATCGATATAATTTCTATTTAAAACACACCAGTATATTTTGCTTACTGGAAATAGAAAATTTAATCATTTAGCTTTCAATTAAAAGTTAAAAGAAATCTTCAAGAACGCTTTTTCATTTTTAAAAATTCATTTTTTAAACCTTAGGTATCGAAAATTAAACATTTCTCTGAACTTTGCCAACTCACCTTAATTACGGCCAACGGCTTTACCTATTTTTTTTTTTTTTATTACTCTTTCTTTCTTTATCCCAACAACAACACGGTCGAGCGACATTCACCTGGCCGATTACTGTTTTATTGAAAGGCTACAATTGTTTTCTCATTCTTCTTAAATCCCTAATCAATAAATGACTTGTGGCTTGCGATGAAGTGTTCTATATTCGCTTTTTTCTCTTTAATAAATAATAGTAGTTGTTAAGTTTCATTCAGCCACCAAGTTTCCCTACGGGACACGGGGGGCATCCAAAGACGACAGACAGGGAAACAAAAAGAAAAAAAAAGAAAAAAAAAAAAAAAAAAAGAAAGAAAAAACGTATTATTAACTCTCTCTCTCTCTCACACAATGTCTGAGGTTAGTAAATTTATGTATTTTTGAAATCTTAAAGTTGGGAGATGAAAATACAAAGTATGTTTACAAAAAGAGACTTTCTTTTATTTTTTATTTTATTTTTATGAGTAAATCATTTGTTCTTTGTCAAATTTTGTATTTTCTAAATGAAGACCCTTTAACAAATCTTAGTTCTGAATTGTTTGTTGTTATTGTCTAAAAGGACATGTGACTTTCATTGCAGTCTTTCGTTTATTTTCAATATCAGTATTTTAGGTACTTCCACTTTTTTCGCTAAAAAAAGATGAAAACAGCATTGCGATGAAAAAAAGGCCCCAAACTTAATATAGTTTTATCGTCAAAGAGGAAAGATCAAAGTATTTTTTTTTATTATCTTATTAATTTTTATGTTCGAAAATTTGGGTTTAAAAACCTTTTTTTTTTTTTTTTTTCCGTTAGTGGTCGACGTTATTTTTTTTTCCCCGACGTCTTTTTGGGCTTTTTTCGAAAAACACATTGATTTGGAAATTCTTGTAAAAATCAAATAATTGTCGGATATTAATTTAAACTTTCAGGACTTATTCACAAATGAATGAAATTATTTAAAAAAAAATTTCTCTTTAGAAAATCTTGGTTACTCTCTCCCTATTTACTTAATTTAAATTTCGAGAAATTATGTTCATCCGAAATTATTTTTTATAATTCTTTGGAGAACTCGTCCTCTTTTTTTTTTTTTTTTTTTAGACTACTCATTTCCCCAAAATCTGCTCCGAATCGTAAAATAAAAAAATGCTATATAAAAGAAAAACTATTGTTTAATTAGAAATTTTTTTAATTGCTTTTATTAAGGACACTATGGTGCTCAGAAGAAAAAAAATTTCGATGAATAATGAATTTTTACATGAATTGTTTTCATTTTTTTTAATATTAATTAGAATTTATAAAGTTTCAAAATTCAATATTAATTTGTAGCGGTTTAGGGAATATTGTTATTAAAATCTATATTTAGTAATAATCAGAAATATAAGCTTACTACAGTGTAACCCGGATATAAGAGAAACCCTGATATAAGAGACTTCTTATCCGGTCCCGACAACTCTCTTACATCCGGGTTGCACTGTACAATTCAGGGACTCCTCCCTAGTATTTAAAAAAAAAATTGAATTTTTTGGTTTGTGTACAACAAATTTGCCGATTTATTTTTGTAAATCCACACACGACATTGTCTTTATCAAGAGCGGTAGGGTAAGTAAATTTAAAGCCGATGTACCGAAAATTCAATAAAACACTACATTAGAATATTTTCCTAAATTTCTAAGATTACTGAGTAGTTAAAAAAAAAAAAGATATAAAAAAAGGCTCTCAAATATTTATTTTTTTAGCTGATATGTTCCACATAGAAAAAATTTCAAAAGATAAGTTGTCAACTGTTGACAGTCAACAACACCTTCTTACACATATGTTTAAAAAAATTATTCTGTGATATTTTAAAACTTTAATTTGTTTAATATCAGATTAATTAAACTTTAAATCAGCAATTCTCCCTCCAGTAAAGTTTTAGGAAAGTAGTTTTTATTTTTGAAAGATTTTTTTTTTAATAAAGAGAATTAGTTGTGCTTCATAAGTATGGCTAAAATCGGCTATTTTTGCCGATTTAAAAGCACTCATTCCAATCAATTTAACTTCATTTTGAAAGCAAAGTATTTTGCTTATTAAAAATAGTACATTTAATTTATTAGCTTGAGATTTAAAGCCAAAAGCTTAAAGAAAGATTTTTCATTTTTAAAAATTCATTTTTAGTCCTATATATTGCCTTTTACTTTTTTTTAGGTACCTACACACACAACTTCTCTCATAAAGTAATGGATTGTTTATTTATTAATCCAACAGATTTTATCAATTTAAATGTTATTTTTAGTGGATAAGATAAGAAATCTTATTAAAGAAAATTAGAAATTTTATGACAAGAAGGATTTCACTTAAAGGCACTATCCAGTCTTGCTTGATCAGCAAAAGTTCTTTGTAGATGGGTCAGTTAAAGTATGTTGTATCTAATGACGGTTCCCTCTACTCAGGGGCATGCTGAAAAGTTCTTTGTCAATAATATGACCAAACATCAGTGTAGGCCATGGGGTTTCCTTGCTTGTGCTCAAAACATTTTAACATCACTTTGTGTGTATGCACACACACACACACACACACACATATATATATATATATATATATATATATATATATATATATAAAAGTGAACATTGAAGTCAACACTTAGAGGCGACAGGCTGTTTTATGCTAAATACAATCGTCAGGCCTGACAATTGCGTCTAACATGAAACAGCCTGTCACCTCTAAGTGTTGACTTCAATGTTCACTTTTATATTTACACACGCTCTTTGATATTGACCACTTTATCCCATAAATATAGCACATCTTAAGAGTATATTTCTTTTATATATATATATATATATATATATATATATATATTAAATGTTCATCCTCTGTATGTGAATATGACCTTGACTTCATTGCAATTGTCACATGGGATGCTGGGTTCTGAACCAGGCTGGAAGGTGGAGCCCTCTTGATATTTCCTTTTCTGGTGTCTCTGTTCTTTGTCTCTGATTTTTTTTTTCTCTTCAAAATCAGACGCTCTGGACTTTACAGGGAAGCACCAGATGGCACAGTCTGTAGGTCACTTCCTCATCGATGTTGGCAGAGCATGACAGTGCTACTAAGATATATGAACTTGTCTGCAACTGCTAGTCTCTTGCCGTTGATGGTAATGTGAGGTTCAATGTAGGTTTTACAAATTACAAATAATCCTTCTCAGATAAGGAGGAAATTCCATCAGAAATTGTCCAAAGTTTATTTCAGAAGAAATATGGTCCACACTTTTGACTTTAAGTCATCATTGCAACAGGTAGAGAAAAATTATGAATTTCATAGAACTGGTGAATATAGTGACATACACAAGCTGGGACATACATGTTTGTTTTTTTTTTTTTTTTTTTGTTTTGTTTTTTGTTTTTTTTAATATACATCTAAAGATGAAAACTCTTAAAAAAAAACAAAAAAAAACCACTAATGTCACTACACTCTTTGTCTACATCGCTACATTTACTAGTTCTACAAAACTCACCATTTGTCATTACCTACCTTGATGATGATATTAAGAAAGTCAAGCATGAACCACATTTTGTCCAAAATGAATTTTTGAAAATTTCTTTCTTATCTGAGAAAGAACATTTGTAATTTGGAAAAGTTGACCAATAAGATTGACTGAAACAAAATGTCTGTTTTAATTGTGTGTGTGTGTGTGTGTGTGCAAATATATTGATAAAATAGGAAAGAACTGTTACTTCTTTAGTGTTTTTATTTTTAAAAAACAGTGCTCAATACACAAGTAGAGCCTAGATTATAATTATTTTTAAAAAAAATATGATTTCATTGCTACACAGGAATTACCATGTTTCAAAAACGGAAGCTAAACACTTCCAATTCAATTATAGAAATTAAATTAAAGTACTTAGTTCTGTTTAATTTTCAAGCAAATTTTGTAATGTGTGTGTGTGTGTGTATATATATATATATATATATATATACACTGGTAGTAACAGTAAAAATTGTCCAATTGTTAGATTAATCTTTGAACTGTTGTATTTTAGAAATAATTAAAGATATATTATTGGAATTCTCAGAGGTTTTTATAATACTATTGGACTCTACTTTGAATAATAAGGAAGTATTTAGCTCTAAGTTGAAATGATTGATGCCTCTTACTTTTGTGACCTTATGATCCAGTTTTCTTCCCTAGTGTTCCCTCTTTTTTAAACTTATCATTTTCTTGGTTCTTGAATGGACTTTGAAGATGGAAGCCAGAGTATGAATGTCTGTACCATTACTGAAGGCCTGAATGATCTTTTTCCTCTCACCATTGCTCATTTGGGAAGACAGTGGGGCTGACACAAAATGATTTTAACCTGTTCCTTTTCTAGCTGAATAACTCGAAGGGTTTTTCAGTGATTTTTATGACAAATGGTGTCAAGATGGCTAAATGCTTTATCTTAAAACCTGTAAAAAAGAAATTCAATTAGTTTTTTTTTTTTTTTTTTTTTTTTAAGATATTAAATATTTTGTAGGATGGACAGTTATCCCATGCAGTTACATGATTTGGACAATTTTGCTGTTACACCCAGTTTGATGCTTTTGAAAATTATGTTTTGACATTTTCGCTTAGCAAAACTTGTCAAAATAAGTTTTCAAAATTTTTATATATTTACTATTCTGTCAGATTCTCATCCAACTTATATATGGAATACATGACTGGTGTAATGGATAGCCTCTTGGAATGAGAAATCAGAGACCTGAGTTATATTCACTTATATGCAATTACCCTTGGGGAAAGGGATGAATCCATCTCTTTGTTTCCCCTAGGAGGAGAACAACACTAACTTCAAACCTGACAAGGGTCATTTGGAGACCTTGTGGCACACTATATGCAGCTGTTCTCTGTATTCAGTTCTTCTGAAAAGTATGGTTGTAATCAAGTCGTATATGAGGCTAGCTTGGCTGTTCAGTTTTAAGTCTTAAACTGCTGGATCCTCATACACTGAAGACAACAGGAGAGTCCATCATATATGTGATTATAGTATACTTGGGCACCAGCTTTCAATTTATGTAGGTTTGGTTGAAGACCAACAAAAATCATTCTCAATTTTTTGTTTGAAAAATGGATTGTTTACAAAAAAGAGTGGAATGGAAAATGAGCTCCCATTAATCACCTCAAATTTATCTGCATTCGAAGAAGCGGGTCTATGCCTGGTGAATTGGGAAGAGCATTGTGCATTATGAGCTTCTTCCACAAAATGTCTGGTTCACACACCACCACAGTCTTTTGAACAGGAGTAGAGGTTTATTCCTTCTTTCTGGTTTAGGATTGGGTTTCTGGTTCCTTATAAAATCTGTTTCCACACTATATTTATAATGTCTCTGCCTGAACTCTGAAATGTTATTCACTAATTAAA